AAGCAAAGTCTTTCAAGGCAAGGGAGGATTTACAGTCACAGACCTTATCTGGCTTGGAGAGCTGCCAGGCCGATATCTGCAAAACTTGGCAAGGAGTCTCGGAGAGTCACAAACCAATGAAGCGAACTAATGGTCTCCTGCAAACTCCACTCCCCTTTCGCTCCTCTTTTATTCTCTGACAGTCAAGTCCCACTTCAAATATTGTTCCACGTTTGCGCGTATTTCAAGAATACATCTGGGAAACAGCTGGAGCCTGTTCCCAGTGTGCGCATGCGCAGACGAAGGGGACAGCTAACTTACTTGGGAATAAGGCCACAGGTGGACGATGAATGGCCCCTCCCAGAGGAAATAAAAGAGGAGCGAAAGGGGAGTGGAGTTTGCAGGAGACCATCAGTTCGCTTCATTGGTTTGTGACTCTCCGAGACTCTTTGCCAAGTTTTGCAGATATCGGCCTGGCATCTCTCCAAGCCAGATAAGGTCTGTGACTGAACCCTTGAAAGAATTTGCTGGATGTGAATGAGCAGAATTCACAGTAACTTAATCAAAAGGATTTGTTGTCAGGACAAGGAGTCTGCTTCGTGGTTTGGGGAAGCCTAGGTCAGAACAGCTGCAATAGTTGGAATCTGACTGAGCTTCCTCCTCCATAAATGATAGGACTACAATTCAGTGCAGATGTGTCGCTGAAGAATCGGTAATTCTCACCAATCCTTTTTACTACCTCTCTCCAGCATCTGTTTCCGCACTGTTTTGGGAATGTAAGAACCTTCGAAACGGCTACTCAGGGAGCCCAGAACGTTATAGTAGTAAGTAAATATTAAAAATGGCTCCCCGTATCCTCCAGCAGAGCAACCCGTGAGTGATGCTCTGTTCCCAACAGTCTGAATCCAACTATAATGGCTTTCTCGGAGCTTGGGAAAAAAGCCGACGGCTTGCGAAATATTACAAACATCGAACACCTGCAGATTCTGGCTGCAGAGAGAGATAGTACTTAGGCTAGCTCTTCTTCGCCTTAACATCCAAAGCCCATCCTTTAGATCAGGAAACCTTCCAATTCTGTCATTCTATTATTCATTCACACTTTTAGTTCAGTGATATCAACTCTGTCCTCAGCAGGATGAAGTGCCTGATGGATTTTATCTGGCATTAGAAGTTAAGCAGTGGGGACATGGGGGCTCAGTGGCTAAGACACTGAGCTTGTCGATCAGAAAGGAGGGCAATTCAGCAGTTCGAATCCCTAGCATCGCATAATGGAGAGAGCTCCCGTTACTTGTCCCAGCTTCTGCCAACCTAGCAGTTCGAAAGCACGTAAAAATGGAAGTAGAAAAATAGGAACCACTTTTGGTGGGAAAGTAACAGTGTTCCGTGTGCCTTCGGCGTTGAGCCATGCTGGCCACATGACCACAGAGACGTCTTCAGACAGCACTGGCTCTTCGGCTTTGAAACAGAGATGAGCACCGCCCCCTAGAGTCGCGAACGACTAGCACATATCTGCAAGGGGAACCTTTACCTTAGAGGTTAAGTGGCATCCAATGTAGTTGGAACTTGGATGAAAGAGCCTCAGCCAATCTCATATATCTACATCTCTTCAGGACATGCAGGCAAGTAAAATTATGCCATGGAAGAAAAGGATAAACATCTTGAGGCTGTTGCCAAGAAAACTATGCCGATGTGTTCATGAAGCCACTAGGAAGGCAGTGACAAGCAGTGGCTTTTCCTTACTGGATCCCAATAGTTGTACAATGATACATTGATACTCCACTGCTTTGAAACGCCTCTAAGTTGGTACTCAACGCATTTTGATGTGGCACTCATCACTTGTTTGGTAGTCAACGCACAAGCAAGAACTTGTCTGTCTCACTACGTTATTCCTTATGGGAAAAATGTGTTTGGTACCCATTGTTTTTGGTACTCATTATTTTTGGTACTCATCGTGCCTCCCAGAACCAATTAATGAGGAGTACTGAGGTATCACTGTAGTATGAATTTGCACCACAACACACAACCACAGATGCCAGCCCTGTGTCCATCTCTTCCTTCCTACCAGGAAACCCAGAATGGCTCTGATGATCTTACTTACATTTCTTTTAATATCGCACGACTTCACAACAAGTCTTAAATTCAGCACAATCACGCCCATGTCATCCTCCAAGCTGTTTGGGTCTTCCAGTTTAAGAATCCTCTCAGTAGTCCTGGATGAGAAAAAGAAAATTACACAGAGCTAACAACCAGAATCAACCAAAAGCCGTCTTTAAGGGTGTCATCCAGATCATAGTTGTCCCAAAGGGGCTTTTTCAAGAGGCAACTGACTTCCTGGTTTTCCTTTACTTTTCATCCAAGAAAACTTCTTCCTTAAGAAGCTTCTTGGATGAGAAGTGAAACGTCTTCAAAGAAAAACCAGAAAGTCCAGTTGCCTCTTGAAAAAACACCTTTGGGACAAAAAGGCTTATATTTATTTTAAGAGCAAGACACTGAAAAAGGCTCAAATATTCACCGAGCCATATAGGCTGCAACAGAACCGAGCACTTTAAGTGCTCTGTAATAGATAACTGCATTTCGAAAGAAAAATATATATACCAGTAAGTGTTGGATTACCTGTTTAGTTCCAGTTTGTGAAGTATTAGGACTGCTGAACCCATAAAATCAGAAGAAGTCAAGTCTCTATCGTAAACCTGAGAAGAGGAGGAGAAAGGGGCGGAAAAATACAGATCTGATTATCTGAAAATAATTTCAGGTTCGCCTTATTATTAGTTCAGTGTCAGCCAATGAAACTGCACCAATCATGACTATAACAAACAAGAATAAGATTACCATCTCTGCAATCATGACTTTGTTTTTTGCTGCTATCACTGATTGAACTATTCCCAAAAATAGACACCACATTTCCACAAATCAATGTCTTGTTTTTTTCCCCTCCTTTCCAAGTGCCACCTTTTTACCTATTACAAACCAAGAGGGGTTTGCACAAGTTACCAGTGAGCCAGCACAATTTACTCATTATTTATTTTTACAACTGTAGTTCTGGAAACTAAATAGGCCCATGTTTTAGGACGAGAGATACTTCAAGTATTTATGGTTCCCCTAAAACTGCCATGTTTGCCTCCTTCAGACAGGTAGGCCCAAACCAACTAAAACAGAGTTAGGCCCATAAAGTCTTCTGAATTATTATCATTATCATCATTTCCATTTAATGACAACCCCATAATCCCTTGTGGGGTGGAGTCTGGGCAACTGAATGGAGGCTAGCAGAGTATTTTAATGGCCAGATGCCCTTCCTGTCACCAGTGCGGAGTTTTGTTCAGCAGAAATTTTCTCGGTGAGCCCAGAGAGAGAAATATCTGCCTCTACCTAGGATGGAACTCGCCACCTCCTGATTTTGAGGCAAGAGCGCCACCTCTAGGCCACCGCACCACTCACCAGAATGTTTTCTGAATGTCCCCACCTAATTTGGAGTTGGAAAGAGTTAGGACACATTTTCTTGGAAAGAGAGAGTAGAGGTTTTCTAGTAGGGAGTATACTCGTATGGAAAAGATCTTTGCAAGCTGGTTCCACCTGCGATCCTTCCCTGACACTTAACAGAGGTGTGGGAAGCCAAAAGGCGGCCAATTCCCCAGTTTGGGAAGCATTAGAATTGCTGAACCCACCAAATCAGAAGAAGTCAAGTCTGATCATACAGCTGATCCATCTGGAATGGGAGAAGAGGGAGTGGAACAGAGGTGGAATCCTATGGGTTCGGACTGGTTCAGCCGAGTAGGTAGTAACTCAGCCTGCCACGCCCCCAAATTGGTTCTAACAGCGGCGGCACCATCTTCATTTTTGGTTCTGCGCATACGCAGAACAATCTTCATTGCAAAAAATGTAATTTTTCCCCTTTTATAACGTGCGCATGCGCAGACCTTTTTAGGTGCAAATGCACACATGCGCAGAACACGCTTTTGACATACACACTTGTTTCACACACATGTGTGCTCAAAAAGATTTTTGCCCGCCAAACCAGCAGTAATCCGGCAGCAACCCACCTCTGGAGTGGAAGCAAAAATAGAGATCTGGTTGTCGTAAAATAATTTCAGGTTGGAGTTTTTTAGTTCCATGTTTGCCAATGAAACTGAACCAGGTCCCCAAATGGTTGGAAATGCAAACAAATATCTGGTACATATTACTACATGTGGTGGACCTGCATAAAGGCAAGGAAATTTTGGACGCAAATCCATATGTGCTTAGAAAGAAATGACCAGACAACATATAGAATTTAAGCCAGAATTTTTTATTGCGCATTATATCAGATGATTATGATAAAGGGACAATATATCTAATATTACACATCTTGACCGCAGCAATGGAAGAATGAAAACACCCCTTCAGAGGAGACGATAAGGAAGATAGTAGCCTGTGCGGAAATGGCCAGACTAATGCAAAAAATAAATGATAAAGGAGATACAGAATACTATTTAAGACGGAATAGATTCTATCAATGGTTAGAAACATAAGGTAGAAGTTGGAATGTGAAAGAATCAGGTTAGATGGACATGGAAAGAAATATTATGTATGTAATAAGATTAAAGTTCCTCTCACACATATGTGTTAATCATTCCTGACTCTAGGGGGCGGTACTCATCTCCGTTTCAAAGCCGAAGAGCCAGCGCTGTCCAAAGACGCCTCCATGGTCATGTGGCTGGCATGATTAAATGTCAAAAGTGCACAGAACGTTGTTACCTTCCCACCAAAGGTGGCTCATATTTTTCTACTTGCATTTTGTTATGTGCTTTTGAACTGCTAGGTTGGCAGAAGCTGGGACAAGTCACGGGAGCTCACGTTCTTACACATTGCTAGGGATTCGAACCGCCAAACTGCCAACCTTTCTGATCGACAAGCTCAGCATCTTAGCCACTGAGCCACCGTGTCCCGTGTATGTAGGTATTAGAATGATAGATAAGTTGACATACTAGAATATGATGGTCAGAAACTATTGCACAACACTAGCATTGTTTAAAATAGTAATTATGTTATTTTGTTTTTACTTTTGGTTTATGGTAAGTGGAATGCCAGGACAATTACACTATTCAATATATTTATATGTAAACAATAAAAATATATCTAAAAAAAAAAAGAAACTGAACCAATGTTAATGTAACACAAAAAGGAGTAAGTTCTTGGTCTCAGGAGCAGTGATTTATCTCCAATTCGGCAGGATTCTCTTGGGTTCAGAAGCAAGGATCACGTCAGTAGGAGTATTGTACTGAGTACAGCCACAGTGGCACAGTGGTTAGACTTAGAAGGCTACTTCTGCTGATCACCGACTGCCAGCAGTTTGGCAGTTCAAATCTCACCAGGCTCAAGGTTGACTCATCCTTCCGAGGTGGGTAAAATGAAAACCCAAATTGTTGGGGGGCAAGAGGCTGGCTCTGTAAATCGCTTAGAGAGGGCTGGAAAGTACTGTAAAACGGTATATAAGTCTAAGTGCTATTGCTATCTGCCTCCGTCCCTCCTTCCTTCCTTCTTTCCTTCCCTCTCTTCTCCTTCCTTCCTTCCTTCCTTCCTTCCTTCCTTCCTTCCATACATCCCTCCTTCCCAGTGGTTAGAAGGCAGTATTGAAAGCTAACTCTGCCAACTGCCAGGGGTTCGATCCTGACCAGCTGAAGGTTGACTCAACCATCCATCCTTCCGAGGTGGGTAAAATGAAGACCCAAATTGTTGGGGGGCAAGAGGCTGGCTCTATAAACCACTTAAGAGAGGGCTGTAAAGCACTGTGAAGCAGTATATAAGTCTAAGTGCTATTGCTGGTGCTATTGAAGACAGTCTAAATCCGTGAATTAATCCAAGACCCCATAAGAAAAGAACATAACATGAATACTCAAGAATACAAGAATACTACGTGGCAAGGAAAGAAAGGTTGTGAGCCCATTCAGTCAGTCAGGGGACCCCAAAGAGATCATGGTAGATGGTCCTCTTCAAAGCCACCACCCACTCAGTTAGGTCTTCACTGAAGATATGATATAGCCTCTGGACCATCTTTATAGACATCTGTTTCCCATTTTTCATCCTACTGGAATTTACCAAGGACAAGTCTATCTTATCTTATGTTTGGAATGTGCCATCTGGTTTTGCCAAAAACCACCAAGGATAAGGAGGATTTGTTTATACCAGATGTTGATGAGACAGTCTCAAGCTTATGGAACATCTGTTTCCCAAGGTTTGGAGTTTTAAGATGACAAGATCACCCTACTCTACAGAGATGTCCCACCAAGGACAGGGCAGAACAAAGCATCGATGGAGTTTAAGAAAGTGTTTTTCCCAGTGGGTGTCAATCAATCCTGGACTTTTTTTTTCTTTTTGCCAGGCAAGTACAGGTAATCCTCGACTTACATCAGTTCATTTAGTGACCGTTCAAAGTTACTGTCAGCCCTGGAAGCCATATTTTCCTTGGAGCTTCAGAGCTGCCACACTCACTACCCTGGGTTAGTAAATGGGAGGGGGGGTTGCAAGGAGTTGGTGGAGACCATAAGATAACAACATAACAATAACAACATTCATTTCTCTGGGAGTCAAGGACATTCAGCCTGCGCCTGGAATGGTGATTGTCTCCAGTTGGGAGGATGAATTGATTGAACCAAGTGATGGACTGGTAGGTCCAGGGGATGGATCTTTCTTTTGGGTGGGTTAGGCTTTCAGTTTCGGGTTTTCCCAGATGTGCCAATATGAGGCAAATCTAGACTGTATCCTAAAAAGCAGAGACATCACCCTGCCAATAAAAGTGCATATAGTCAAGGCTATGGTTTTCCCAGTTGCTATGTATGGCTGTGAAGGTTGGACCAGAAGGAAGGCTGAGCGCCAAAGAATGGAGGCCTTTGAACTCTGGTGCTGGAGAAGACTCCTGCGANTTTCTCTTCCCCTCTCTCTCTCTCTCTCCCTTTCCCCCTCTCTCTCCCTCCTTCTCTCCCTCCCTCCTTCCCCCTCCCTCTCTCTCTCCCCCCATCAACTAAGAAAATGACTTTTGTTACTTAGTTAGTCTTTTTCGAAATGTGATACCCACTTTATTCAACGTTAGGCAATAAATCAACAAATACAACCTGATTTTGTGGACAGTCCAGAAGAAGCAAAACCACTGGATAAATACCAAGCAGCAAACGTTTCAAACAGGAACACAGCTGACTGGCATCCTTTCCTTAATTGCTGTTCAATATTCTGAACACTTCTTCCCTTTCTTAAGCAAAAATGATGGAAGACGGAAATTGTACAAAAAAAGGGAGAATAGAGAGGGGATACCCAGATCCTCTGCTTAACAGAATAATAGAGTTGAAAAGGACCTTGGAGGTCTTCTAGTCCAACCCCTTGTTCAAGCAGTGGAGCCTATATCATTCCAGACAAGTGGCTGTCCTCCAGTCTCTTCCTATAAGCCTCCAGTGATGGAGCTTCAGTCTTTCCACTGACTAATTGTTCTCATGGTTAGGAAATAGTTCTTGCTTGCTTCTCACCTTGAATAGTTCGCATCCATTGCTTCCCCTGACAAAGGAATTACATTGATAAAGAGGAGACAGCGGCCATTTTAAAAGAAACCAAACATGCTAAAAAATCCCACAACTGTTGCTTTACCTGAAAGAGGCCACAGCAGGAATAGTCCATGCAAAATGAAGTGGCCTCAATGCACAATGTATTAATGCACAAGTCAGAACAATTAATCAATGCAACAACCTGCCTCCAGGAGTTGTGAATGTTCCAACACTGGAAGTTTTTAAGAAGATGCTGGAAAGAGTGCAGAGAAGAGCAAGAAAGAGGATCAGGGGACTAGAGGCTAAAACATATGAAGAACGGTTGCAGGAACTGGGCACGGCCAGTTTGATGAAAAGAAGGACATGGGGAAAGAGGACGGCAGTGTTCCCATACCTCAGGGGTTGCCACAAAGAAGAGGGAGTCAAGCTATTNTCGCCCACCATAGAGTCTTCTCCTAGCATGGCATCCTTTTTCCTCTGCTGACCAGAAATCTGGTTTGCCCATCATAGTCTTCTCCTAGCATGGCTTCCTTTTTCCTCTGCTGACCAGAAATCTGGTTCGCCCACCATAGAGTCTTCTCCTAGCATGGCGTCCTTTTTCCTCTGCTGACCAGAAATCTGGTTCGCCCACCATAGAGTCTTCTCCTAGCATGGCGGCCTTTTTCCTCTACCTATCCTAATCGAAAACCCTATCAATTGTGGAGTCGCCCGGCAAAAGGGAGCTACCGCAGATGGATGAAAGAGCCACATGCAGCTCCAGAGCTGCAGGTGGATGACCCCTGGCCTTGACCATTAGTAGCTCAGATTCTTGTGTAAAGGTAACATGAAATAAGCTTGTAGTACTTTTGAACTCTCTTCTGGTTCCCGGCTTTTTGTACCTGACAATATGGGGTTCAGCACATGGAAAACATAAGTAAGGAAATGATGGGAAACATAGGTAAGGAATTCAACATGGTTTTATGCATGGAGAGAAATTGCACGAAATGGCTTTTGCTTTGGGAGCCAGAAAGAGGGAGGTTGCAAAGTTGTGATGACATCCTTAAAGGAAGTGAAGGGAGTTGTACAGTTTGCACTTCAAGCAGGCCATCTGGTTGTAAACATCCCCAAAGGGAATTACCTACATCTGAAAGATTCCTTTAGGTAGCAGCCTTTCCTCAAACAAAAATTAAAAATGCACGGATGAATTCTCATGGAACTCTCCCTCCCCTTGTTAACACAACCGAGTCGGCTTGCAGGGGACAATATCACATACGGCGACAATTGATGCAGTCGGATGGACGGCTTACCTTCACCCAGAGTCTCTGGTCCAAAGATTGTATTGGAAGCACAACGGTTTCATCCCAAACTGGATTCAGGTTTTTATACACCACTTTGCTTTTATACAGGGTTTTCCCATTCAGCTTAAACTTCACGTATGGATCGCTTGTACCTTAGTAGCAAAGCATAATAAAGATTGTGTTAACATAGTTGTGGAGTTGTGGAGAATTGGGCAGTGTACAAATTTAAATCATGAATATCATCAACATTATCATCATCATCCCGGCTCCCTGGAAAATACTCTCTCTCTCTCTCCCTCTCTCCCTCTCCCTCTCTCTCTCTCTCTCTCTCTCTCTCTCTCTCTCTCTCTCTCTGTGTTCAACTCTGGAACGCCTTGAGCAATTTCAATCAAACTTGGTACACAGATGACTTACTCTCTGGGAACAAATACTGTGGAGGTAAGACACCCCTAACACCCCTTGGAGTTCTGTTACGATACAGCCTGTTGTTCCTTCAAATGGCTTCTACTGTACTGTAGTAAAATTGCTTAGCGCAGTACTCCACAAGGGGGCTCCCTCTGGTAAGGGGGAAAATCCAACATTAGAAACAACATTTGGTCCGGATTATTTTCCCCCTATAAATAAATACCCAGGCAACGCCATGTTATCACCTAGTAAGTAGATAAAAATGCCAAATCCAGTCTGAACATCTGGCTGACTATGGGATGAAACATCATAACAACAACAACAACATAACAGTGATAGTAATAGCAGTAATAGTAGCAGTAGTTCTCCCTGGAATCACACTGGGAGGTATTTTGCAGAGTTTCTGCCTGAAAAATGGAAAAAGCTTTCAATAGTAAAAGACCTCCTACACTAGATAGCCTATCAATTCAAGCTTGTAAATGCCAATTAAAATTATCTTTACAGATTATATTTCCTAGCCAACAAATAAAGTCTCCAAGTGGAACTCAAATTCTGATGACACAGCCATGAGCTTTTCATACAAGTTTTCCTACAGTTCATACAGTTTGGCCTAGTGGTTAGGGCCTCAGGCTAGCACTTGAGAGAACATGAGTTCTAATCCTGCCCTCGCCATGGAAGAAGGTTGGTTGACATTGGGCCACGCCCTTCCTCCCAGCCCAACACACCTCACAGGGTTGGGGTTGTGGAGAAAAGATGAGGGAGCAGGAATATCAGATGCGTTTTTCACCTTTTGTTTATCAAAATAAAAACGGTGGAGTGTAAAAATAAACGAATTGTAAAGTGCAAATAAACATCTAATACATTCAGTCCTGGCCCAAACTCTATCAAGGCCACACAAAGATAACCCACTGACTTAAAATAAATATGTGAAGCAATAAACAGCAATATGGCACTTTCCAGAAATGGGAAAAAATCTCCTTTATCTTGATCTTTGGCTGACATTTCCCTTCCCTTCCCTTCCCTTCTCTTCTCTTCCCTTCCCTTCCCTTCCCTTCTCTTCTCTTCC